AAAAAAAAAAAAAAAGAAAAGAAAAAGGAGCTGTCAAGTCATGAAAGACATTGAGGAACCTTAAATTCATACTTTAAGTGAAAGCAGTCAGTCTGCAAAGGCTACATATGGTAATGATTCCAACATTCTGGGAAAAGCAAAACTGTGGAGACAAAAAGATGAATGATTGTCAGAGGCTGGAGAGGTGGGGTAAGATGAGATGATTAGGTTGGGCAGAGGGGATTTTTAGGGCAGGGCAGTGAAACTATTCTGATACTGTAACTTGAATCCATGACATCATACATTTGGCAAAAGACATAGAATTCTTCCACACAAAGAATGGACTCTAAGGTAGACTATAAACTTCAGTTAATAATAATGTATCAGTGTATCAATACTGGTTCATCACTGTAACAAATGTACCACACCAATGCAAGACGTTAACAATAATAGGGGAAACTGCACAGGGATGGAGAAAGGGAGTAATAAAACTCTCTGTAGTTTGTTTATAACCTAAAAATAAAGTAGAAATAAATTATACTAATTACTAAAAAGTTCAGTTTACTAAAATCAGCAAAGATTTCTAAAGGGTACTGCAGGATCAAAGACTAAACATGAAATACAGGAAAGGTAACAATCTGCTAAAGGAGCCTGTATAGAAAGTACATTTCTTTTTTGAGACAGTCGCAAGGTGTTGCCCTCGGTACAGCTGTGGCATCACAGCTCACAGCAACCTCAAACTCTTGGGCTGAAGCAATTCTCTTGCCTCAGCCTTCCAAGTAGCTGGGACTGCAGGCGCCTGCCACAATGCCCGGCCATTTTTTGGTTGCAGCCATCATTGTTGTTTGATGGGCCCGGGTGGGAGATTCAAATCTGCCACCTTAGGTGTATGTGGCTGGCACCTTAGCTGCTTGAGCCATAGGTGCTGAATCCAGAAAGTACATTTCAATGGAAGGAAAGAATGTCAGCAGAGGAAGGGACCTGAAAAGAGATCAAGGACTTTGTTCTTTAAAATTAGAGCAGAATTTTAGTACCCAGGACTAGCACAGGTACCTAGAAGCTATGTCTATTTATTTATTTTTTTGAGACAGAGCCTCAAGCTGTCCCCCTGGGTAGAGTGCCATGGCATCACA